ATATAAACTACATAAAGATACATATCACTCCCGTATATCGTAATACAGACCATAATGTATATGTATATCACATTTTAGCTGCTGAAGAACCAGCCTACTGAGCCGATACAAAAACGCCCTTTGTGTGTCCAGCACTACTGCGGTCGTTGCCACAACGACCGTTCCCGCCACCGTCGACGGGTGCGGTCCCGCAAAGCACTGATGGGGACCGTGTGACGGTTTTTAACACTACGTGGACAGCGAGTTCGTCATGAACATCAATTCAAAGGCGCCCCCCTCTGAGCATTCAGTTAGGACTCTAAGTTGTTTACAAAGACGCTCCTAACATCTGACGGCCGTACAAGGAAGCTACAATTGTGCAGCGGCTCTCGCTAGGGAATGGCACAAAACCAGTCCACTGTTAGTTCGAAGAAGCTCGCCTCCAACAGTCAACCACTCGGGAAGGCTCTCGTCCGCAGTGTGCTAGCCACGTCCACTCTACAGCAAGACTTACTACAGCCTGTAGGAGAATTCAGGCTTCCAAAGAGCGCAGTCAACGTAAATCTCCCACGAGCGCTACCGTCTAGCACAGCAATTGCATCTTAAATTTTCAAGGGCCGAGAAAGCATCGTTAGGGGAAAAAAATATCAAGACATCCAAACAAACGACTATGAAGATGTGTGTATTCGTTTAAAAATAGTTACAAATATAAATATATGCGCGAACAGGTGAGTGTGGATCAGGCGGACAAACCGCAAGAAACATCCCCCCTATGACAGAAGAAAAACACGATACTCCAGTAGAAGGAAGAAAACTGAACGTGCGCATGTAAACCTGAAGGTCCTCTCTGCGCCTCACAGATGGGGGGAAATAGTTCTTTTCTGTCTGCCCGTCTGTAGGGCAGTCGCCTTGGGGAGGCAAACGGGCACAGCCGTCGCGAGCGGCGTTTTTCTTATTGAGGACAGGGACTGTGAGCTGGAAAATAATTGTTGTCGAAAAATAGCGTTGGTGATGAGGGCGTGGGGTGGGGTGATAGATGCTGCAAAAGGGACGTGGGGAAAGATAGCGAGTGACAGCCAGATAGTTGCCGAGCAGCAAGCTCGAGTCTTTTGGCAGTGGGAGGCCTAGAAGGCGACCTAAGAGCAGGTCCCAACGCACAAGCAAATGGATATTTACACGGTACGTGGGCCGATCAGGGGGGAGGGGAGATGGGTGGTCGAGCGAGGCCACATGGAGGACGAGGCCCGATGTCCTCCCTAGGACTCAACAGTCTCCTAAAAGAAAATAACAACATCAGAAATTAGACGTCTGAATGAGCACCTCAGGGTGAGTAGAAAGCGCCTGGTTAATAGGTCACTGGGTCAAAACTTTGGGCTCGGCATAATGTGGTTTACAGATTTAGCGCCATCAAAGTTGAGAAGTAGTGCCACATATTTAACTCGTGCCAGTAGAAGTTCACAAGACCTAACAGGCTTGTATGAAGAGAATTTAAGATCCCGACGCAAGGAGACCTTATCGTCAGCTGGAAACTCCTCTAGGGAATACACCTATTCAAAATTAGTGGCTATCTGCATGATCTTTGCTATGAACTTCATTTGTAGTCCCCTCTCCCCACACACAGCAGCAAGTAGATCGTCCCTTTTGAGTAGACAGTTTTGTGACTGAAAGATGTCCAACTGCTTTGATGGGTGATGCCGGCCGCCAGTTAACAAGGGTGATCTCCTCTGCAGTTTTCGATGAAGACTGCTTCTCCAAAATCTTCGGCACATTTGTAAGGCCGCATCAGGATTACAATCTGCTCGAAAGGGTGCAGGCGAGCAAATAGGGAGTTCAAAGGCGTAAGCCTATTTCTCTCAAATACACTGACTGACTGAGAATAGTTTTAAGAGCAGGTGCTCGCACGATTGTAAAGAATGCAGCACTTACGTGGACTGCAGCCTGTGGAACTGCATCAGAGGAGAGCAGTTCTTCGTGGCTGCCGGTTGGGGCTGTCGAGATGGTGGAGGGGGAGGAGAGCACTGAAGTGGCACAGGGAGTCACAGCAGGCTCCGGCGCTATCTTGGGCGCAGTTGTAGCCGGCGGCGTCATGGCAGCAGCGGAGATGGGTGGGGCTCGGTTGACGGCCCCCGCACGAGGGGGAGTCAGGCCACTGGGGCCGACGGCTGACGCGCGCGTGGCTCCGAGGACAACAGCGCGACCGCCCAGTTGCCAGGTGCCACGACTGTGATGAGCAGGTTGGTTCCATACGGAGCTGCCACTGCCAACAGGAATGCCGGGCATGACTGCTGCAGTCGAGGCTGTGGTGGTAGGGGTGGTTGCAGCCGGAGTGGCTGAAGTCACTGTCTCCCGACTGGCTCCACCACACTCAAGGAGACTCTTCAGGAGCTGGGAGGGATGCAGGCCACCCGGTTTTTGGGAACCAGAAGCGTCAGGATCCACGCGCTTTCCGGCAGCGCCCATCGGATCTTCGGTCTTGGGGGAAATTTTGCGAAAAGAGTGATACTTGTGCACAATAGGTCGCTTGCCGCCGCTCAAGGTCATTGTGGTAGTGGTGACAGCGCCGGTGCTGAAGATAGGCCGGCCTGAAAGATAGGTGGCTGCGATGGAGTTGGATTCCGAGATTTTCAGGGAACTCAGGGCACTACAAGCAGGCGTGGTTACGGAGTGGCGACCAATTGTGTGGTCAGGAAACGGAGAGCCGTGTGACTGTCTCACTGGAAATTATTGGAGGAAGAGATAAAGAGTACTGAAGTGAACAATGACGACAGCGTCTACAAGAACTCACAGAGTTAGAAACTGATGAAGACGACATTTAACAAAGTCCTGCATTCGCTATTAGACAGCTGAGACAAAGTGGGAAGCGGTCGCATTTACAGGGAGCAACCATGCATCGGGGACTCACTTGAGGGCATAGACTACAGAAAGGAGCATCCTATCAACGAGATTGTTTTACACGCCGGCTCCAGTCATCATCCTACTCATCAGCAAAGGAGCACGGAAGTGGGCCACGCGGTTGCAGCTGCCACAAGCATGGGATGTACTGTGGAGGGTAGAAATACAGCGAAGTTTCTGACGGCGCGCACCACGCCATCACTGGCGAACAATGTGGGCTGGTCCCAGTGTAGGCAACTCCGGTGGGAAAAAGGAGACAAGCATACGGCCTGCCCAATAACAACGAAAGACCCCAACGGCAACCGTGACAGTTCAAGCTGGCGCTCGCGAGATCAGTGAAAGGCATGACTGCTAGGCTACTTTTTGTCAAAAAGTACAATCGACAGGGACGCGGGAGGCCGGAGTGACCACTTTTGGCCTGTTTGTCGGCGTCCGCCAGCCAAAAAGCCACTTCTGACCAAGGTTTGGTCGGGGGACCAACTTGGCCACTAGGTCACAAAAGTACACCCAGTTGGACGCAATTGAGGGTATTTAGTGGAACGGAGGCGACGTTTGTGGATCTGTCCTGGCTGCAGAGTTGGCACTGTTTGACTTTTCAACCAAACTAGCCCAGCCATATCTTGCCAGCTTGGATGTCATGGTCTCGGAGCGGAGACACCGCGTACGTGGAAATGCTATAAGAAAGTCACTAAACGGTCGCCCCATGGGATGCTGTTGTGATATAGCACAAACTAAGGCCACGAAGGCTGCCATATACGCAACAGGCATAGGCATACATATGCGCGCGGACGGCACATTACGGGGCCTGGGCAGACATACAGTAGATGTGCTGCCGCATAAAATGTTGGCCGAAGTTCTGAAATGTACTTTTTGATTCAAAAGATTTTTAGAATCAAAGATATTCCAGTCATGTCAGGGTGTTTGTTTTTCAACCAGCTTCTTTCCAGCCGCCTGCAAAAACCGGCCACTTAAGAAGCATGAATTTTTCCAGTTTATTTGCTGACCGTGAAATGTCCAATCATACAGCAGCGCATCAACACGTTTACTAATGGTATGCATAAATTGGACAAGGTCACTATCCATTTCATAATTTTATTAACCCCATATGACGTCTTTTTGAAAGTGTATAGAGATATATGATTTTTCATATTAAGGAAGGAACAAGGAATGGAAAACCCGCGCATTCCCCAATGCGATGGCGCTGGTATAGAGATATATGATTTTTCATATTAAGGAAGGCATACGGTTTGTCAACATACGGTTTTATCAACAAGGAATGGAAAACCCGCGCATTCCCCAATGCGATGGCGCTGGTATAGAGATATATGATTTTTCATATTAAGGAAGGCATACGGTTTGTCCAATTCCCCAATGCGATGGCGCTGGTATAGAGATATATGATTTTTCATATTAAGGAAGGCATACGGTTTGTCCTTTGGAAACCCTGAATACATCTCGTGGAGGGGGTTTATCAACAAGGAATGGAAAACCCGCGCATTCCCCAATGCGATGGCGCTGGTATAGAGATATATGATTTTTCATATTAAGGAAGGCATACGGTTTGTCCTTTGGAAACCCTGAATGCAGGCCGGGTTTAAAATTATGCGGAAATTGAAAAAGTGCCTATGAACCCAATGAGCATAAGAGAGAATACTTTTGCGCATGTTTCCCATAAAGCATATGCAATCTTATAAGGACATCGAAAATCAATGAAAAAACTTTATGCTAACGAGGTAGCCATTTTTGCAGCGTGGTTTTTGTAGACGACCGGAAAGGAGATCGTTCAAAAGCCCTCATTCCGACATGACTTAAATATCTTGGAATTGTTCTGCACTATAATTCATTTTATAACCCCACTTGAGTAATCTTTTCGAATTTCGGTTAAGATTTCAAAAGATAACACATCTACTGTATATCCGCTCAGGTTGCCGAATCATCCAGTTGCCAGGGCATCTGTGAGTCAACTTCGCCTTTATTTTTCAACTACACATGCCTGTGTATCTAGAAGTCATGTGCAGACGATTAGGCTTAATCACAGACCCCTAGTCCAGAAGTTAACGAGTTAGCACGAAGTTAATTCGTGAGGCATTAAATCAGGCGCTTATTTCAAGGGACTGAAATGTTTTGCCTTGCCATCGAAAATAAGGGTTAAGGGGAACCGATCCGAAGCTGTTCACAAAGGTGGTACCTCGACATCGGAATCAGAAGGGAGATCGCGCGAAAAAACTGACGCTAAATTAAGACTCCGAAATCATTGCAGCCTTGGACTTGGGACTGCTATTACTTGACAATAGTTAACAGTCAGTAAGTCTGCACTCTACACTAGCGCATCTTTAATCCATTACGAAGGCCAGGGCGAACTCAATTGGAATGGTCACACTCAGTCTTGTAGTCACTTTGGGGTGACACGCATCAATATCAGAACGTATGTTGTCAAACTCGGTTGGTAGATCCCAAATTCCTAGGAGCATAGGAGTGAGCAAGGTGGAGTGCGTGGTTACCTCTTCAAGGCAAGTCTAAGGTTGAGGGCCCCAAGGAAATCAGAAGCCCTTCTTTTCTGAACAATTCAACTTCTCAGAGCCTACCTACACGACCCTTCGATACATCTCGCGGAGAGGGTGTATCAACAAAGAATGAAAAACCCGCGCATTCCCCACTGCAATGGCGCTGGTAACTAGTAAAAACGTTATTACTGCCGTGACTGCATTTCAAGGAAAGGCCGCCTACCGGCTGTGACTGGATGTAGGCCGGGGACGTAGTGCAGAACGTTGGTCGAGAAGGGGCGAGGGGCTGCCGAGGCAGGGGTCAGTTGGGGCAAGAGTCCACGCACGGAGAAGACCTTCCCAGGGCTGACTTGACTGGTGACAATAGGTGTAGGTAGGGATGAAGAGGCGGCTAGACTCTGGGCCAGGATGTGGTGATGGTGCTGGTGCTGGGCGGCGGCATTGGCGGGTGAGAAGGGGAGCTTAACAGACTGCCCACTGCCGCTATCGTGGCTGCTGATGGCAGGAGGTGGATGAGAGGGAGGGGGGTGAGAAGGCAGGCATCTGGCGAGAACGCTTTCAAGTTCGAAGTTCGCACCAGCCTCCTCGTCTGTAGCGGCACCCACATCAGCGGCGGAGACTGGGCGCGGGAATGCTGTTGCTGCTGCTGCAGCTGTTGTTGGCGCCGCGGACTGGCTCATCTTGGTGAGCTTTGGCTAAAAAGCATAAAATAGCCTCCTAATGTGTCTGCATTTGCGTGTGGACCGAGGCGGACAGTTGCAAGCTAACTAGAAAAGAACTGATAGAAATGAACGTAACTCGCTGGAGAAGCAATTAGGGACTTGTGTTCCATCGGAGTTTGGGTATAGTCACTTCAAGTACACATTATGTAGCGGAAGTCAGGTCATCCTTAGAAAGGCCCCGAATTCTGCTAGCTACAGTGGTTGAGCCAAACTGTGGGAGTTAAAACGTTGTCTCGGGTGTGAACAAAAGAAAAGGACAAACGAGTCAACATGATGAAAACGAGATAATTGTCGCCAGGATCGCTGGCTGGTGTAGACACAAACGTACTTAACCAACCAATTAACTAACACGCGCATATGAACCAACAGGAAAGGAGGACGGGACAGGAAAGCGAGGGAGAGAGGGGGGGGAAAGCAAACCAACACAGAGACTAGACCGACCTTTCCAGCAGGCTTCGTAATATCTGGTGGCATTTATCCTGATTCATAACAAGTACCATCTTGTGCGTAAAAGTCGCGGGAGGGGGGGGAGAAGACAAATGCAAAATGAGCAAAGATGGACAGAGGGAATTAGAAAAGGGACTGCATACAAGTTGTTGCAACCGTTGAACATCGACAAACTTACACAGTCGGATAAGGAAAAGGGGGCGGACCTCTTGGGGAACCTTTGGAGAGCCCTGGTGGCAGTCAAACTTAGAGGGCAAACTGAATAGTTGGTGGCTGAAGGTCGATCCAGGGAAATTGTTTTTGAAATTATCGACCCCGTATGGCCTTCCAACTACGACAGTTTGACCACATCAAGCAATCACTGTCCACAAGGATGCCTGACTTGGCTACCCTCAATCATATCTTTTCATGGGCGACAGTTTGTGACAGCGGATCTGGAGAGCTAGACTCATTTTCTCCGAATAAAAAGATCTAATATCTACTTCCATGTCTTGACGAACTGTGTAGAGTCCGGTTTTGACTTGGTCTCCTTTTCGACGCCTCCAGGTGGGCACTGGTGAAGGGACGCGGGCAGTAACACTGAGCTTGTGAGGCGGTCGACAAAGAACGTGTCCAATCTACCTTAGTCGTCTTTCTTGGATGGCCTGAGATACCCCTGTGATGTTGCCGCAGCGAGTGCTGACTGTGCCACACACGAATGATAGGCCTAAGGCAACGGTGGTCAATCATCTTCAGTTTACGGTCATTTTGTATGCACAAAATCCAGCATTCACAACCCCACAGGACGGACAGAGCCGATCCCCGGCACATGCTGCTCTTCACTGCGATGGTGATATCGCGTCGGGTTCATAGATAGTTCCCAAGGATTGAAACTCCTGCGAGGAGCATTGATTCGAGATCTGATGTCGTCTTCACTCTATCTATTCAGCAGTAGTCTCGTACGAGGCATTTGAAAGTGATCACCTCTTCATATTTACAGTCCTGAGGGGTGTATTCTCCTGGCTAGGTACACAACTCGAAAACGCCTTGGTTCACCTAGCGTCTATGGATAAAGCGGTAGATTTAGCCACTTCATTCGCCCACCAGAACAGAGCAATATCATTAGTAGACCATTCAGTCTGCCCCCGACTACAAATTAAACACCATCAAAACCGTGTACTGCCTTCCCGAGTATTCAGTCAATGGTGCAATATAACCGAATAGGTGACAGGATAAGACGTTATCGAACGCCACATCGAACGTCCAACTGTTGGGAGGGATTTTTACGTATCGGAACTTGCACAGTGGTGGAACGATGGCAGGTTCCGACCATGGCGGTGATTTTTGGCCGGCATATTAACTAACTCAATTGCCCGTCACAGGAAGCCAGGGTGGACGGAATCAAACACTGTGGAGAAGTCAACAAAGCTGGCAGCGTCAGTTGTTGGTAGCCACGGCGCAACTAAATAACGCGCCTCTGGTCCGCGCATTCATGCCAAAACTCAACTTAGCTGGGTCTCTTTATCGACTAACGCACACTTTGAAATCGACTGACAACGACAAATGTGATGGTCTTCGCAGCAACGTTGAGGGGGCTTACGCCACGGATAATCTGGCAGTCTTCGATAGTCATCAGCGTTTTAAGACTGTGCTACGGAGGTCGCTATTCTAGTCCAATATTTCCTGTGCCATCTCTAGTTGATTTTGTTGTCATTTTCCGGGAGGCGGTGAAAGGATTAATTGTGGCGGCACCCCGCTGGGAAAAAAACTGTAAGGTTCTTCAGTTGGTCCATTTACTGCGGTATTGGTGGGTGAACCCAAGAATTTTCTCAGCTGCCTCATAGACTCATGACTTCAGTGATAGCTACTGATTACTGCCTTAGTCGGCTCAAGTAGCAAAACGGAACCACATTTTTCTGCTCAGGGTCTAGACGGTGGTGGTGGTCGCCATTGTGAGACATAAGGGCGGCTTGAATGTGGCATTTTAGGTGCGGATGAGAGGTGAACTTTTGGGTGAATGCGAACTAAAACGTGGCTAAACTCATGAGTGGTACCAGTTTCGACGCTACGCAACGGCCTGCCACTAAGAACCAGCTGCGGAACCTCAGACGGACTAGAATTTAGCCGATCTGACAGGCCGTAGGGTTATCGCTTGAATACCAAGTCGGCAGATGTTTATGGCATGGAAGCACATGTTGGTGACAAACAGTCAGGTCTGATCAGCAAAGCTCAGTATTCTCCTATTACTGTCTTATCGAGAGCCAAGTCAACAGCAGTCGGTAAGGTGACGGTTTGAAGAGTCGCGGGGTCCAGTTCAGCCATTTCAATCTCAGGCAATAATCGGTCTGACGCGAACATGTGTACCCCACCCCTGGGCTATGGCGCAAAGCCTCCTGTGAATACAAAAATGACGGTAACAGAGGTATTTTAGGAGGGGAAACGTGGTCTTAGATACATAAAAAGAAAACGTATTTGCGCCGCAGGTTTCTTCTAATGGAAACAAGACAGGTAAGGGGGTACACATATCCGTACCCTACCCAACATTCGGCAGACCACGGCGAAGGGGTTGTTCAGCTAATCATTGCGGCTGCAAGATTGTTCATCGCGCTGGCCGGCATCAAACGTTAGTGTGCACACCGCCGCCCTATGAGATGGACCCAGCGGTGGCAATTTGCGTATGTGTCTATAGTGACGCTGACTTGCACAGCATCTACCTCGCCTCCTCCTCCCACACTCGTTGTGCTCAGATGCCGAGGCGAAGTAAAGGCGATCGGATTTGAGTGCGGGTTCGGAGGTCGAGACGGCCAAACAACCCACCCACGCATGCCACACACGATCTGGTCTCCAGCCCACAAGCACCAGGCTACAATAAGGGCGTCTCAGATGTCGTATAGTTGAGAATACAACAGGAGTCGTTGGTGAAAAATCCTTGTCAAGTGTATTTTGTGGACCAGGGGGTGTGGCCGTGCCAGCCACCTGCGTCCTCCCCGGCTCCGGTCTTCTTGACTCTGACTTGACAGCAGGCCCAGGTGAGGAGTGGGGATGAGAGAGTGCGGTAGAGGCTGCGCAAGTCAGCTGTCACTATAAACTAATTCACGCGCAAGCCAACGTGTCTGCTGCCCCTTGCTGCGTAACACACGGTGGACATTGTCGGAATCGACGATCGAACCGTCATAGTTGAAAATACCATGGAGGTTACATTAAGGAGCCATTGCGGTCTGCCTTTCAATGTTAAGAAGGACCGATTTACCCCGTCAGTTGGCAATCTCACAAACCACGCCTCTAGGCGCGTAGTGATGGACTTGGGCGTCTCAATCTCAAACTACACAGGTAGGCATACAAGCCAACTCACTTTCAACTCGTACCTAATACCCAGGGTTATTTACAGCGTTCCATCTCTGACGCGTGGTTATGTTGGGGCACAGAAAACACACCTTATTCTGCACTGATAATCGTGGCGTTCGCGTTCGCGCGCGCATGTACACGTAGGCACTCAGGCCGACAAGAAGACAGTGCTGGCGACGAACGCCAGTAGCATGTCACGTGAAAATCGATCGCGTCGCGTTCAGGTTAGGGATGGGAGTCACGATCGCAACGATCTCAATCAGAAAACACCGATACTTGCGCACCAGCGTGAAAAGTTCACAACAGTCACCACCACCGCCACAAGAGTAAGACTTTATGAAGTGCAGAGGAGACGCGAGGAAGTTCCGATTTCGCTGCCTAGAGCCGGGTCGTCGAGGCCAGCGCAAAGGCAGGATGAAAATTGTCCATGCTGTAGGACTTCCGCCCCAGATCACGGCTGGACAACATCGCGCTAGGGTATAGGTTGCCCTGTCTTTTGGCGTAAACTTTTGCGTGAGTCACTTAACCTTACAGCCCAGTTACAGTCGACTCCGAAATCATGGCATGGTTGCAAACGCGACACTTGAACCCCGAGAGCCTCAAGGGGTGTGGAAGTGCAGGGGGATCAACGATGTTGCTACGATGCCGGTCCCTGCATAACAACGCGATGGCATCTTCAACGGAGGCATGCTAGAGAACTTGGGGCAACTTCGGTAGGAAGTAAGGTGAAATTTTTCGTAAGTCGCGCCCTCTAAATTACTTGGCGGCTTTCATTATGGGCAGCCGGAGAAGGATGTGTGGCAGTCCTCTTTGAGGTAATCGTAACACTTTTGTTGCATCGGGCATAAGCGAGCGTAAAAACACAATGATTAGCCCCTTCTTTACTAATGTGATTGCGCCAACTCATCGCGACGATTTTTTTTCCAAAGACGTGGGCTAGTTCACGTACGTACTCATGGTCACTACCGCCATCGCCGGTGAAATTTCTGAAACCATCATTCAAGAGGCTTCAAAACGAATATCAGATCCCACATGACCACTAAATTCGATGCTTTTTAAGGTAACACTGGGGTAATAAACAAAGGAAAGAAACTTCTCGAGAGCGAAAGCACAACAAAAAGAGAGGGCAGTTGGGAAGACCGTTGCGTTAAACTTCATTTACTGGGTTGACCGTGATCAGGCGGTCACAATGACGGAGAAAATGCGGCTTCATTTCTCGCAACCAGCTTGCAGCTGCTACTGGATAACAAAATAGCTAGAAAGGGGCGTGTTGGCCTTTGTCTCCTGAAGACGGCGAGGGGCATACAGTTTATAACAAACAAACCTGCCTACTGTTTACGTGCTAGTAGACACTGCGGATGTATATAAAATGCATGCATGTACCTGATTTGCGGGTAGACGAGTCTGCGACGACGTCAGTTGATGTGCCAAAACTTGATTCCTTGAATATAGACGCTGCGGTTCACCCACGCCTGGACGACTCGGTTCATCATGCATTCTCTTCAGCTTTAACAACTGACTAGCGCTCATAGATATGGCCGGATTGTAAACATCGTCACCAGCCCGCGGGCCCGATTTTTCGCTTTCGATGACCGTCTTTTCACGGGATCTTTGGTCAGGTAAGACGGACTCATCCTTGACAACGTCCGAAGTCTCCACTGCAGAGCCTGACGGGGTGAATGGTCTCTTCTTCGCAGGAGACTGGATGCGCGCGACAGTGTTCGAGGGTGGTGACTCGCATATGGAAATCAGCGGCATCGTTTTCGTAGGAACGCCCGACTTCAGTGCAGTTGAAAGCTTAAATGACAAGAATATTTTGCCTTACAGTAAAAACCTAAGGAGACAAATGTTTAACTATGTACGTTGCAAGCGGTGGAAGGCTAGATCTAACTATGTGCCAGGACAGAGTAATTGGACATGGTGCAGAAGTGTAGGAAGTAACAACTATTAGTTGCGGAGGATCGATCACAACGGACACAGGGGTTCAGGGGATGAAGACGATAAATGAAATCTAAGGGCAACAGCGATGCACAAACAAACGGAAACTATACCACAAAGACTGAGCTTCCGAGGTGCTACAATATTCTACGCATAATTCAGAATGCCGTCTTTCAAGGCCCCCTACACCCAACCGCACTCTTCGAAACAGGGGATTTTGAACTGTACGAACCCATGGTTCCACGCTCATTAATGTGACTACTCTGCACCCTTGCGTAAATTTAGCTTCGCGATTCAATGGCCAAGTTTTGTTGGTATGAGCTTCAAAGGAATACTGACAGTCGAAGCCTATGCAGACACCTAACGAACACGCGCTTTGTTGGTGCGAAGCACAGAATTAGTGAAGGCACGATTAGCTAGTGCGAAAGATTATTATCGCCCATGGTGGTGGACGCCAAACAGCCAGCGGATGGGCGAGGGACCCACAACCTTTCTTCTGCGTAAAGGAACACGTAATAGCCAGTCTCCCTTGTTGTACCAAAGCCACCAACAGAAAAAACACTCGACCTTGATGGGACGTGGACAGCTAGTCCATAAACAGTAATTTCAAGCGACAACACCACGAAGGTTAACACCGACTTCGTGACAAAACCAAACACGTATCAGTTGGTCAACCGGAGTCAAAGACAGAGCTGGCATAGAACAGTTGTGTTGCCCTCTTGTAGCGCCCATTTAGTTACAGCCCTGACGATGAAATCACAGTTGATACCCGCACCTGTAATGATTGTAAATCGTGTAATTGGAAAACATCTAAGACCCTACCGCATGACTTAGCTTGTTTATTAAAATATAATGTTCTTGATGTAAATCTACACTTGCAGCCGCCAGCGGCACGGATGTATGAACTTAGCACCTTTGAGATGCAGAATTAATGGGCCGAAATCAAGGGTTTGATAAGATTACGTTTTGTCGAATGACCGTTGTCAGCAATCCGCCAAAAGGTTAATGTATTTGTATGGTGATACAACAAGACGGACCTGAAAACATCTGGGTTGCCTTAGGTATTGTCACGCCCCTAAACATGAGGGGACCGACCTAAAAAATAATTCCCATGAAACAAAGGATCTTAATCAGCGAAAAGGTATCGCCGGAACATCGTCCATCAGAGATATTCTGTAATGCTGACGGATCGGAATGTTCAAAATTATAACAGAAAAAACTTCAACGGTCCTTCGCTCTACCTGGTCGGATGTTAAAAGGCAGAAGCTGTTAAGGCGTGCATGATGCGAATCCAAAAAATATGTCAGGAACTTTGACGAACAAGCTTGAACAATATTTTATCCTGGGAGAAATAGTAGATACGTGTTGTTAGGCCTTGGATGGCGAAGTGCGCGAGTTTCGGAAAGATTTTAAAGGCAAAATGCTGCAAACTGTTAAAAAAACACGACTGAAGTAATCTGCTGTGTCCAAGCAATGAGTCGCTGGAAAATGTGTATGATCAGGCGGATCTTGGTACACCGGCAAAGTAACAGTCAACCTTCAGTGAAGAAAAGATCACTGCAGAATAAGTGTTCAGGGGGTTTGGGGCGAAGGGCCTACATCGGCAGAATAGCCGGATTATCTGAAGTTAACATTTCGTTGGAAGAGTTCCCTTCCCCATCTACTTACCCCCTGCTCTCACACATCCCATGTGTAATCAACTCGGTGAGAAGGCAGTTTTACCCAGTTCCAAGCATAAATTGCTATCTAAATCCGATAATTACAGCGTAAGAACGAGGAAGTGCATTATAGGCGATGACCCCGAAACGTAGCACGTTGTCGCGTTGAAAATAAAAACGCCGGCCTGCATTAGATGGGTTGCGCTTTTTTGTTAAATTGAGACGCGGTTACCGCGGAATTGGCCCAAGGAGACAGGGGTCTTATTCCAAATCAGCCACTGCAATTACGCCCGTGTCTATTCATCCCGCCATTAAAATATGGTGAGTACGAGAAGAGGGCGTGAGATAGGTGCTGGGCAAGACTCCGTCGTTATAAACTAATCGACGCGCAAGGCACCAATGTGCCTTTTCGGTAATGGACCTAGTCAACAATGATGAAGAAACTACCTAATAAATGTTGCTCGAGAACATACACCATCTAAAGTACTCAAATGGCAGTTTAAGAAACGTATGTATGCTATTCCAAAACGTTATTCATTTAAAGTACTTACACCAGGCGTGTTGGAAGCAGCCAACTCTGTCGTCGAGGGCTCAGCTCTCTGGTGCGTCATTTTAGAAGGGAGGTATAAAACGGAGGTGGATGCGGCCACAGCAGAATCACTTTTTGGGTTCTGAGCATCTCCTTTTGTGGCTTGTACCTTTGTGGCAAGAAAAGGATGCGCGCGGTCTACAGTCACTGGATCTTCTGAGGCGGTGATGGCAACGGCAGTGGGAGCCGAGGGGCCGATGACATCCGCTGTTTGGACCGGTCCCGCCTGGAGGATAGCATTCGGCGGTGTTGACGTTGTCATCGATGCTGATGGCGGACGTCCTACAAGGTGAGTCTGATCAAGAACACTCAATGCTACAGGTCTCGTCGAGGGGGACGGCACCAATGGCGCTGGTGCTTGTGGTACCACAGTAGCTGCTGCCGCCGCGTTCATAGTCATTACCGAAGATGGCTTCTGAGGAACAACCAGTGTAGGGGATGGGAGGGCAGTTGTGGAACAGGCAGCCATGAGGGTCGAATTGCCCTCGTTCATAGCAGCACCCGCGGCCGTCTGATTGGTGCTGGCACTGACAGTAACGGGAATGGTCGGTCGCTTTCGATTCAAGATCTTTGGCACCGTGGAAGTGCCTGTATATACCTTGCGAATCAGCTTGCGTGGACTATGACGACGAAACATGATCGAGAGAGCCGGAATGTAAGAGACAGGATCCCCAGCCTCAGCGTGAAGCAGAGACGAGGCTGCGGGTCGGTGGGGTGGCTGAGGGTGGAGTGTGTCAGGACACGGAGCGTTAGGACGCAGGTGCGAATCGCTGTCGTCTGATCTGTATTGGTAGCCCCCGCGAGACTTGCGCCGCTCCTGTAGCTTTTCACCATACTGAAAAGAACGTTGTCTTTGAGAAGATTGACGTTTTGAATGCAGGCTGCGATAAGCCCCGTGCTTTTTGCGAAGACTGGAATACTTTAGGGAATGAAAGTTGGGTCGCATGCGCGGGTAACGTTGGCGGACACCAAGGACAGACTCACGACCGAGTTTCTTCCTCGCCTCGTCTACGGATTGCGTAAAATCCGGATCAAGGCTTCTTCGAGAAGGATGAACCTCGCTGGAAGAGCTGGGTCTTGGAGGCGACGCAGCCCTGTTTGCATCATGTAAGCGTTTGGAAGAAAGTGATAACAGCTCATCGTCGTCGGAGTGTGCAGCTGAGAGTCTAGCACCATCCACTGCGGCAGCTGGAGCGCTACTGCCGCGACCATTAATTTCAGCCTGGAGACCATGGTCACGTGTTTGGTTTCCGAACTCGGAATTTTTTTTGTACGAAAATGATTTAAGCGGATCGAGGTAGGCAGAGTTGGAAGGACTGACATCGCGGTCCCGAGTCTGAGTGACCGAGTGTAGAACGGTTCTGGGCGTTGCTTCGTTGTGCTCTCTTGAAGATGGGGAGTTAAACCGATGGAATCGCCGGCTTTCAGCGTCGAAGTTCGGAGCGTAAGTAAGCACAATATTATATTCTGCTTCATTGTTAGAGTTCGTTTTGAGTGCAAGAGACTGTATAAAAAAGCCCGTTTCTGTGAGTCGTTGCGTTAAAATGTTGAGGTCTTCAGCGTGGAGTTGCTTGATGTGTATTTGATCGCCCTCCTGGGAAACGCTACATGTCAAACCCAAAACCACGCGATCTAGCAAAGTAAGTCTGCGCATTTGATCGTGCTTGTGATGTAGAAGTCTTCGACCAGGCGAAATACGACGAGGACGACAAGTCTGGTCATGATCATCAGTTTTTAAGGCATCCTCAACTGGTTTCGGTTTCCGGCTTCCCTGGTGTTTGGTCACATAGGTGGACCATGTCTCAGTACGAAAGTGACTGTCACAGCCGCTTTTACTATACTCACTGGCGGTGGGACCGTCATACTTCAATGAAGACCGCCCATTCCTAAATGGTCGCTCATAGCCACGGCGGAAGCCAGATTGAGAGGAGGATGAGTCCGAGGAGGGGCTGCGAAGGCGATGGGATTTCATAAACGAACTCGGTCCCTCGGGGCGCTCGAGACTATCTTCGCTAGGAGTCCGACCGGCAGCAACAGGTCGTTTTCTTTGGAACAGAATAGAATGATGTCGTCTTCTAGAGTTCGATTGTTTATTAACCGGTGAATAAGTATCAGAGCCAGGGGCTTCTCCATCCAAAGCACATTCAACCGTTTGTGAAGCCTCAATTTCAGCAACCTTATCAACCTCTCGTACATCGGCGTAATTTTCCGCGTCCCTGAGGTTGTCATGAGTCAAAGTCTCTTCCTCATAATCCTCTTCGTGCGCCTGAGGAGATTCTGAATGTTGATCGGGGGATAGAACGGCATGACGGCGTTTCCTCAGTTGTAGGCTCGGATTCTGTGATTTTCTCTCATTACCGCCATAGCAAAATTTCCACTCAATATGATGTCTAACATCAAGACGGCGGCGTGGTCGAGTACAGACAGAAGGATGAATTGGCCTCACTTCGGCCACTTTAGCAAGCTGACTAACTGCAAGGGATGACTTCCTCGGTCTCCCCCTGCCTTGGCGTTCATGCAATGTGGGTGCAGTCCCCGCCAATGTCAATTCACGAGCTTTCGTTTGTGCTAACTTGGCCTTGGCAAAACTATCACGAAAGCCTCTTGGCTGGAGATCACTGGGTGGTACATAGGCCCCGGGTGGCAGGTGGGTTACATCCAGGCTCTTTTTCTGCGTTATCATGTCTGAATATCGTCGGGGACGGGGATTTGGTCTCAGCCTTCCCATGGCACTACGGTTCAATTGTTTGGCCTTTTCTTCTCGGCGCTTGCGCAGAGCCTCGCGAACACCGGGGCGAGCCAAACCCACGGATGCTAAAAGGGCGTCTTTGGCATCTAACTCTTTGTTGAGCTCGCTAACAGGCCCAATCTTCTCCAGTAACTCGCCTATAGTAGGATTACTGAAGACGAAAATTGCGTTGTCTTGCTCTTGTTCGTCTGAATCGCAAAGATTTGACCTTGATTGCAGAAACTGCCTCTTGGAGGAGAAAACAACACCCGTCTTGCTAATTTCGCCCAGTATTTCTTGTAAGACATCGTCAAATGAGCGGAATCCACAATTCATAGATAAGAGTAGTTCTTGACGCGACACCGCAATTTCTCGTAGAGGGGATTTGCTGCTGTTCACAAATCTGTCGCATTCATTCGCAAATCCAGCGTTTGGGGACACAGAAGAATCAGAAACAGGGGATGTCTTGTTGATACCGATAGGAATTTCGGTGGTAACCGAAGGAGCTTCTTCGTTGCTTGAAACATCCTTAACTGTTTCTGAACCGGAGTGGCCATCAGGCATTTTAGTTAGCTCAGCAAAATTATCATCGCCTATTTTGATTTCGCCCACATATTTGGAGGAGGCTAGTGTGGTGTGTTCCGGAATCTCTGGCTTAGGTTTCGGCTTCCGCCCACGCTTTTTGGGCGCTTGTGAGGAAACATTGTTTTGCACGGCCGTAGAGATCTCAGCGAGTTCGACCGCTTTGATCAATTTCTTTTTCTCCCTATATTTTCGCAAATTTTCGATGAGTGCTGCCCTCCGTTGTAATTTATTAGCTGCGATACTTCGCATTGCAGCATGAAGTGCCAGTCTTTTGGAAACAGAAGATTGTGGGCCACGCAATTTGGCTCCGAGTTTTCGTCCCGTAGAAGATAATTTTGGCTGTTCTTCTTTTGCGCCTACGTGCTTTTTACGAGTGTACTGCACACTCTTAGCGATTTTTAGAACGGACGCAGAACCTGAGGTCGACGCCATCTCGTGGAGTTCATGTTTTCTTGGTCTACCGGGCTTCTTTCGAACAATAGGGGCGCTTTTGGGAACACGCTTCTTGTTCTTCCGCAAAAGGCCTAGATTTGCAACGAAGGACGTGGGACGTCCCCTATTTCTGTTTTAGAGATAAAATTGAAGTTTTTCAAAATATACCTGGTCAACATTGTAACTGAGAAATAAAAAAATTCCTTTCCGGTTCACAGTCTAAAATTTAAAAAAAGTATCCGATTAATTATGCCGCATGAGAGAAAGGTACAGATGAGGTGGAATTGAATAAATAATTTACGTCGAAAGGAAACTAGTTTATAGATATCATTTGAAAGAAAATATTTCAGCAAGACAAAAAATGGGCATGACAGTAGCAAGGGGTGGAAAATGTGGAGAGGTAACCCAAAACAAAGGTATGGATAGCTATAAAACCGCGAAGCAGAAAAATCGGAAATCACATTCGTAACCAACCCAGACAAAAAACCATCCCAAGGAACAATGTTTAAAAAGCTCTGACAGCCGACTAACATAAATATATGAGCGAAAAAACGTGAAAAACATAGCAACTGGACGAACCAACACGCGCCTTACATGAAAAGCGAAACCGATGTAAAGTATGCGCCCCTAGGTCGACCTACCTAAACCTCACTATGATTGGCTGAGAAGGCATACGGTACGAGCGGCGAATCATTCAAACAAACGTGTTCTTAAATTCGTTTTTGCAATAGATAGCGAGATGAATGCCGGAAAATTTATCAGAATGCGAACTTGTAGGTTTTCATCACTCTGTCAGGCCCTTTTTAATTGGGGCTTCACCAAACATCGTATTGCGTAATTATCATGAGATCACTTAGCCCCTGAAAAATGCCTTTAATTTCATTCGAAAACACTGTCGTTTCAATCTAAACTGGAGCGTCCATATGAGTTCCAGCGAAACCGCTAAAAGAAAACAACACGAGAGAATGGCAGAAATCAAGACATTTGAAAATAGCGAGAGAGAGTCCGAAGAAATACCTTAAGTCAGACGTGAACGTTACCAGAAGCTGTTTAGGCACCGGATCCTGGCCATCCATATAACATGTGACCTTGGCATAAACTACATGAAAAGTTTGAATTATATTGCGGCCTAAGGTTAAGATCAGGTGCGTTATGATCAGGGTTTTACTTTAATTTAAGGCTAGGTCTTGGACGATGCAGTTGGAGTAGGACTGGTTTCTGACATAGGGGATTAGTGTTGGCGTAAACGGAGCAGGTTACTGTGAGGATTAGATCTAGGACACGGGAATACGAATTCCCTCGAATTAAACGCGAGGTTTCTTATAGTACTGGGACACATATTCCTGTATGCGATCCAAAACAGGGGCACAAGATTCTAATGATTATAATGCGCCGAAAAATCTGAAAAAATTAAAGCTCAGAAATAGTGCATGTTCTCCTTCTTATAAACCAAGAAACTCCAATTAGACAGCAGTGGGCCTGAAAAGTTTTTGAAAGCATCTTTTCTGAATTTTCTCAACTAACTTGCACCATAAGCAGGTTCATATGGCATAAATGCGAAAAGTAAAAATGTTGGTTAACTGGTGTCGTGGGCAACTTGTGTATAGTCTTACTTCTTTATTCAGCAAGTTCTGACGTGTCTTATGTACACATGCTGCCAGAAAAAATGGCTGTAGCAAACTTTGCCCATTAGGATCTGAAACGTTACCAAGGTGTATATGTCAGCCTAGTTGAATGGTGCGATAAACTGTTACGAGAGAGCATTCCTTTCACTATGAAAGAAAATTAGCAAAATTTACTATGCTCTTAGCTATGGAAATAATGAAAACTGTGGATGCTTTGTACATATGGAGAGAGTTTTTATACAGTTCAGTCATGCTTTATTAAGGGAAAGATGTGTAGATGAAGGCCATTAAATTCCCTTTTGACTACAAAAACGTCAAAAAACACCGATACATAAAGAACGTTGAAAAAAAGTTTGTCTACAGAATTGCCTGGGACGAGTATACAGCTGTTGGTCAGACTACCAATATGCACCATTGTATGTATGTCACGGCACAAGCAAATACATCAAAAATGTAACATGTAAACGAACGCATGAATGTCAGTTAGTGTGTTAGTCAAGGTATTTGACGAAAAATTTAAAAATAATGCTACCGGATACAGGGAAGCAAATGTTTGGTTGCATGCACTTTAAAAGAGGACGATAATGCGAGAGATATACGTCACATTATGATGACGTGGTGGTACAGATGGATGCACTGGTCAAGTTTCCTCGTAGGACCATTTATGAATGGGGACATGACGGTGCCCACATACGGAGAATTCCATGCATTGATCACTTTGTTGAAAAAGAAGAGCCTCCTCGCGTCCACTCTCGTTCCACTCAAGTATAATCAGAGAGGATGTCCACATAGGTCAGCAGATACGGTCCGCTCAAAGAAGTCTTCAGATGTAAGGCAGCACTTCCGGCACCGCAGTTTGTGAATCGCTTGTACAAGCTTTCTTCGTAGCCATCTGTGGTCCAAAGAATGTAGTGACCTTGAGTTTGACTGGAAGGGAAATATACGAATATCATAAATATAAAGGTTTGAAATAAAAGACTGACGTTTTACCAACTGATGCGAAACGTAAATTGGACATACCGAAAGCTTACAGGGCCATTGATGCTCATCCAGTGTATAGGCTGGATTCAGCGACCATTGAAGAAACCTCCCACATCACCCACCAAGGCGGGTTAATTTTGAATAAGCAGCATGTACTTGTGGATTGGAATTGAGTCCATGCTACCCATAGAGGACCACACGTGATTTGTATGGTGTCAAAACAAGGTACGACACGCGTTAGTGGTCTGCCTGCCCATAATGAATGCCCCACATGGGGGACGTGATCGTGTGTCTGGGTGCAGACGAAAGCCGCGCCAGTCGTCTGAGTCCAGTCCTGACGTCAGATGGTCGACCGACTCGGGTAGTATACTAATGCCCGTGAAAGGAAAGAAGGTGCGATAGACACTGGGGACTCCTGCTCCACCCCGCTTAGTGCATTCTCATCAAAATTGATAATCTGATTCGAGGCGCGCAGCTCAATTTCAACGATAAGTTAAGCTTTGCATTTACTTGGATATTCTTAAGCAATTAATGCCTGTTTTTTTACTTGCGTCCCTTTTAGAAGTCTCCTTTCAATACTGGGTATAATTTTTTGCAGTCTTGTTAGACAGTCTGTTAAAGTAGCCGTATTTTGTGACGTGCCTTTCTAGTGACTGTTTTCCCGACTATCTCTTTCTAGTTTTCGTAGTAAAATAACACTAGTATTTGTTATTCAGTACATTGTTCCGTACCTTAACAACGTTTTATTACTTGCACTGCATCGGAAAGCTTATCTTGTTTGTACTGTCCTGCAGAGTTCGTGCTAAAAGACGAAAGTTTGCGGCCTCTCCACCGTCTCTGCGTGCTTGAATCGTGACCGGAGACACAGAACGTGCCAGCTTATGTCCGTCGCCTTCTACAGATATGGGTAATTTAAAAATCCCTTTAGTACATTTAGAACCTCTTGACCCTTCAATCGTCCAAAAATACCCCTCTGCTTGTCGTAGCTGGTCATCAGCTGACGAAATACTTGATCAGTTGATACATGGCGACGTAAACAGTATTTCCGAAAAAGTAATTGAACAAGCTTCTAAACTTATTGGGGTAATAAGTTCTGAAACTGAGGAGAGAATTAAACGCCAGCATAATTTTGTACTGCGAAACATTCCGAGCCAATTATCTGCAATGAAGGCAGCGCATTTGTTCCTACAAAGTTGTGGCTTCAGTTTCAGTGTCGTACAAGCTAAACGACTGCGCTAGCTTAGCCGTAATGCGCCGATACTAGTTACCCTTTTCTCCACTATAGAAGTCGATTTTATCTTGCGAGGAGGGCGATAACTAGAGAATTCTGCCGTAAATGGCGCTGCTCCGTCTCGCCAGACCTCACACTACTGCAGCGAAGACTGAATAAATTAAAATCGGCAAAAACCAACACTAGGATAATGACACCTAATGTCAGTTTGAATAAGTCATCTACAACACTATCTGCGTCCTCTGCACGTCACGACATTGTCAATACCGTAGGGAATTCGACTACTCTTGATGCTGCGATCTTTAGAAGCAACAATACGCCTGATATACAAACACCCTAACGACTTCCCCAGCAACCCCTAGTAAGCTTAAGCACGTACTCAAGTCTGAGGCAAATTCCACTGTCGTCTCAGCCACTCAGACACCCGATAAATCCAGCACCATTATAAAATCTTCTCCTCCACAATTGGCTAACAGCGCCTCAAATACACCGACTCAAAACGTAGCGTGTTCCCAAATGCCCCCAGCCGTCAAATCGAGGCAGTTAGGCTGAATATGCCGATTTTCCCGCCGTTTTATAGGACTCTCGCTCCAATGGAAGGAAAGCGTCCCCTACTCCCTAACTTCTTTCCTCCAGGGCCGTTTTACCAATGTATTCCTCATGCTAATGTCCATACTTGATCAGTTAACTCATCCGATCCTCAGTTTTGTTTCGGCGGACATGTGTTACAGTATCTGGCCCGCGGATTTCCAGCTGAAAATAAGTTAGATAACAATGATTACCAGTTTACCTGTCCGTCATTTCCTCCCCCAACTCCTACCCCTTTTTATCCACGTCAGAATCTTCTGATGCCACAAAACTTTCTGCAGAACCGGATAGTTACATCCGGAACGTTTGCTCCGTGGGCAGCCCAGCACTGGACGACGTAGCCCACCTCCCTAAAAGACAAACAGCCTTTCCCTTCAAACTTTTTGTTTTAAATGCCAGATCGTAAGATGCCTATGCTTCAGACTTTGGTGTTCGTCCATTGTCCGGATATTGTTTTATAACTGAGACATGGGCATCAACTTCGGTAGCTGGCTCCGAACACTCGCTTCTAATGTGTAAAAATTTCACCTTAAATGCACTAAGAATACAACTGTTCAAAATGTATGTTTTACCTCTCCTAGATTACTGTTCAATTTTCTTCGGCATAATGCCCTCAGACGACCGAAAGAAACTAGAAGGCATTCAGAGACGTTTTACTAGATCTTTGTCCATAAGTGATGGCACTCAAGGTTCATACTTAGAACTATATCATAAATACGGTCTTCGACCCCTCTGGATCAGAAGACTTCTAAAT